GATGAGAGTGCCCCAAATCTAATGTAACTCCAGTACATCTTTACTGTACATGACAAGGTGAGAAATAAAATCCAGCACGTTTCAGGGGCTCCCCCTTCTTCAGGGCTGAGGAACAAGATGACATAAAATACCATAAAAAAGAGATCTTAAGAAAAGCATATCTTAAAAACGTCCTAAAATGTATTATAAATAAAATATAATATGTTTGTGTCCTATATTGTACCCCGCAACATATTTATGTGTTGTGTATAGCAGCGTTTCTCAACCTTTTTTCAGTTGTGGCACATTTTAAAAGGTATGAAAAATCTTAATTTAAAATGTATATGATTTTAAAGGAGGCTTCATGCAAAAACATAAACAAAGTGGGGATCCCCCTTCACATCAAAGTCCACCCTACACATCAGAGACCCGCCTTTTACATCAGAGCCCCCTTTACATCAGGAGCATTTCATATCAGAGTCCTCGGTCTTCCTTTATATCTGAGTCCTACTATACCAAGTTTTTGAGGCACCGCTGAGGAAGCCAGAAGGCACCCCAGGATGCCAGGACACACTGGTTGGGAAAGGCTGGTGTACAGATAGAAGACCATGGGTAAAATTGAAAAGAAATAATTAGATTTCATCACAAACAACTAGGTTCTTAGAATTAGTATATTTTATACATCAATCACTCCATATTTACAATAGATACGGTATATACAAAAAAGCACACAAAAATCTGGGTTTTAAAGTGCACCTGTCTGCTGTACACATTAAAGAGAGCCATTTAGTGAGTTAAGCGTTGTTGGCATTTAATAATACATCAGTAAGCATTGTGCAAAATGAAGTAACCCATGCCACTTAATAACCCGTGAACAATCTGCATTCTTACCGATTAAAAATCTAATGAAAGGTGAAAATTGAGTGCTTTGTATTTTGCATATTACCATTGCTCTTTTTTCTTTTTACACTGTCCTCTTAAATAGTTATGAGTTGAGTATGTGAATGGTAAAGGGCTCTTCACATCACTAACTTACCCATCAACAATACCCTAGGGCTCATGTATACCTAAAGTAGAATGGAAGGGTATATTAGAAATGTTAATTCTGCCTAAACAGTGCTCTGAAAATGTTATCTTTTGTCTGGAATTCCTTCTGAAAAATAGCAGTGTACCTCCTGGTATGTGAGGTTGTCCACATATTTCTGTGCCTACAGCATCATAGCTGTACATCTGCAGTGTAAGATCTAAGACACTGCTGCCTCTGACTGCTAGTCTCAGGAGATTTGGAATTAAGTTTGGTTATGTCACGACTATGCTGTTCACTGTTCTCCTTGCTGGAGGCTCTGGCACGAGGAAGCAAAGCCCAGCCTCTACCAAAATAGCTGTCTCCAGACAGAGACATGCAGGATGAAACATGATAATGCAATAATGGGGGGAAAGATAAACTGCAGGGAGACCACAGGCAATACTGGTGACTAGGCCATTGAGATTTGGCAGTGTTTGGCAGTCCCTCTTTATGCAGTTTAAATGGATCTCAAAACTACATCTAGAGCAAATGATTACAATTCAAAACCTATGATTGTGAACACTTAAACTTATAAAAGGTTACAGAAAGCCTGATATACTTATACCTACCTACTACCTACTTACTTACACCTACTTACATGAGGATGCCATGGTGCCAGTCATGTGTCCAAAATCTAAAGGCATTGTGAAGTGCTGAAGAGGAGCATCAAACAATCAGCTGATCCACTTCTAGTGGTCTAGTGGACATCTAGAATTCTAATCCTCCCCATCAGCAGAGGTCATGTGATCAATTTCTAGTCTTTGAATCACATGATTGGCTGCTGTAGTATATCAAATCAGATCAGTTGATATAGTGGAGTTATTTAATGCCTTCTGCTACCCTATATTGCTATCAGAAAAGGGTTGGGAAAACTGGCAGAGTGGTTCTTATTGGCCTTTAGCCTTAATTTATGAAAAGTTGATGACCTATATACAACCATGATCATTGTCATCAATAAGGAAAAATGAAGTCAGCTCACTGCAGACTGCATTGTCTCAGAGGACAAAGCCTGTACATTCAAATATAACAGTACTCCTTATGACTTTTACCAAGCAAAATTAATAATTTGCACAATGTAGTAGCCACCAATCGTAAGGAATTTAATTATTCTGTAGTTATATAAGTGAGGGATGACTGCTGATTTGTATTCATTGTTTACTGAGCTTTACACTCGCTTCCTCCCCTTATCAGGTAAGCCTGATGGATAAGCCTAAAAGATGTTAATTATATTTAAATTAGCAAGAGAAAATACCAATTGTAGCATGTAGGAGCACTTCCAATGAAATCAAAGCTCTCTACTTTAAGTACCTTCAAAAACAAGAGGACCACAGCAGAGCTAGGCCCCTCTCATGTTGCTACAAGGTAGAGCCTCAAACTGCAGCCCTCTGCATACATTTACCCAGCCCTTGGGGCAACACTTCTCCCACTGATACCAATGATGGGGCACTAGTCATCCCACTGACACCAGTGATGGGACATTATTCCTCCCACAGACAGCAATGATGGGACACTATTATTTTGCTTGACACCAACAATGGGACACTATTCCTTCCACTGATACCAATGATGGGGACTATTCCTCCCACTAACACCAATGATGTGGCACTACTCCCACTGATACCAATGATGGGGGACTATTCCTCCCACTAACTTGAACGATGGGGCACTATTCCTGCCACTGACACCAATAATAGGAATTTATTCCTCGCACAAACAGCAATGATAGGGGCACTATTCCTTCCACTGCTACCAATGATGGGGCACTATTCCTTTCACTGACACCAATGATGGGACACTATTCCTCCTCCCACTAACCACAGAAGCTAGGCCATTTTTTACTCCCAATGCTCACAAACTCTGAGGCATTATTCATTCCCTCTGATCACAGCCCACCACTCTCCCCAAGTTCTGAACTGGCCCTTTTTTATAAAGTTTAAGGACCAGTGCTTTAATGCAATAGCGTGATAATTCAGTAAGACAGTTCAAAGACTATTGGTAATATATGAAGTGCAGCAATGCATACAAACCAATAAGATTCTAGCTTGTTTTAAGGGCAGAAAATTGTTACTATGCCTAACATCAAACGTCAGTAACCCAAAGCAATCAGTAATCTAACACTATCACATCTAACAAAAGACCAGTATGCAATGTTGACCACACACATCTCAGTCTGAATAGCTCAATGGTCTGCTCATTCCTATGAACAACTGAACCCTGTGTATATCTTTATTTCTTTTCATGTTTCTGAGGTTGAAAATAAGGAAGTGATCAGACTTTTTGGATCTTTTTGATGGGTTGTAATCTGTGTTATATAGAACAATCTACTTTTTGTACAGAATTTTGATTGTACTGTCAAAAATAATTTCAACCAAATCGGAGAAAACAGCACACATGTGTAGACATTTGTAAAACATACTTAAAAATACCTAAAAATAAAATAAAAGATTGAATTTAAATAACCATACTAATGTGTGTATGAACAGCTTACAGTGAACCTGTGCTGTGCCCACATAAGGCAAGGAAACAGGGTCACTTTGATAGTGACCCCATTGGTGTTTCCTTGCTCTGCTGCCACCCTTCAGCTGCCATGAGTAAAGTTAGCTCTATGTAAGCTCTAAGACATGCTTTGTAGCTTACACAGAGCTTAAAATGTAGTAAACGCTAACAATGACCATCTCTTATTTGCTCCCTTTTGGTCTGTTAAATATACTTTTGAAAGCGTTTTGTTATATCTGTTAGATAAATGTGAAAAATAACTGTTGATCTTGCCAGAAATCCAGTAAGATTATGATTTCCTGTGCGGTTTGTAGTATTAGCTCAAGTAGCCTTATCTGCCCTGCATCGGTTACTTTGGTGAACTTGAGTACACCTCCTCAATTTGTTTTGGAGATGAGTAATGGAAGAGGTGTTCTGTAGTCCTAGCACACTTCTTGTTCTAGGATGTCAATGCTGCTCCTCCATAGATACAGTACAGTGAGTGAGTGTGGCCATCGGGTTACTGGCAGGATCACCAGGTAAAGATAAAGTTGAAAAAAGCTTGAGAAAATATGCAGCCACCACATCTAAGGGCTGGTAAGCGGCAATATAGTAAATTTAGTATAGTATAGTAACACTCTCTCATCATCCTATGTGACAATGCTGGGTGCCTGAACTCACCCAACACCAGCACAATTACATGGGAGGAAGAGAGGTGAGTCACCTGCTTCCCTTACCTGAAAGCAAATAATTGGCTCCCAATGGCCAAACAGAGCAGTGGGGGAGTGAAGAAGAGATGAGTATGGGCCCTTAATGCTCATGTGCACCATAAAAATGAATCTGTTGCTTTACCCAGCATGGGCAAAGCAAAGGTTCACTTTAAACCTTGGAACTTTGAGCTTCATTAATGGGGACATATATAATACATATGTAGCACCCTGTAGGCAGGAGTGCTATTAAATTTAGTTATTGTCCTATTTTAATCAGTCTGATGCTGATTTGTATTCTTTGCTCATCTGGTTTCCCCTAATCAGTCTGTCAAAGAAGTCTACACCAGCCTGGATGATCGTCACCCTCAACCTCTCCCTAGTCATCAATAAAGTTCCTCAGCATCATATCTACAGTCTGGACTTCGCTTTTATCCGTCACCATAGAGGGTGGTAAGTGCTAATGGGTAATGTGGATCTGGTTACCCCTAGACATGGCGATAATGGATGGTTCTATTATTCTCTGCGGCCCCTTAGGGGGTTCGTTACACGTACAGTATAATACATTTGGCATTATTTGCTGCAGGATTCGTAGAAGTTCTAGTTTCATCAGTCATGCTTTCTTCTGCCATATACAATCGATTTTCCTTCCAAACATACATCTGATTGCTTGGTATGAGATTGCTGTCATATATCCCAGTTCACTGCACTGCACTGTTAGATAAGAACATGTAGTCACATGATTGTCCCAATTATTACATTATTGTCTATTACACAAGAATCACAAAGGAGATTCTTCCTCTTCCACCGATCTCTGGAGACCCGGGATGAACCTCAGGAAATGTTTTCTGATGCTTCCTCGTCTGGCTTTTCGAGGCAATGTCCCAAAAAAATTGGAGAGGCTTAGAGTGTCCCAGTTTGGTGACATCGGCTCACTTTCGCTGCTCGTTATGCTAATGCTCCTATGGCGTGCTAACGAAGACTTTCTTAATGAGAGCCCATTGAACTTTAAGATGAAATAGTCTTCTTCAATACTAGACTGCCGACTGAAAGCTTCCGTTCCCGAATCCTCCTCGTACTCAGACATAGACCCCAAACCGTCCTCGCTAAGCGTTATGGAGCCAGCGAAGCTCTTGGTGCTGCTTGAACTGGACATCCGGTATTTATTCAAGAAGGAACCAGGTGTGGATCTCTCAGACATCTTGGAATGAAGGCTCTTCAACTCTTCTCGAATTTTGTGCTCATTCACTGTCCCTGAAAATAAAGAGTGGAGAATCCCTTAATTAATGCTGCTTCACCGTCTATTACACAAGAATCACAAAGGAGATTCTTCCTCTTCCACCGATCTCTGGAGACCCGGGATGAACCTCAGGAAATGTTTTCTGATGCTTCCTCGTCTGGCTTTTCGAGGCAATGTCCCAAAAAAATTGGAGAGGCTTAGAGTGTCCCAGTTTGGTGACATCGGCTCACTTTCGCTGCTCGTTATGCTAATGCTCCTATGGCGTGCTAACGAAGACTTTCTTAATGAGAGCCCATTGAACTTTAAGATGAAATAGTCTTCTTCAATACTAGACTGCCGACTGAAAGCTTCCGTTCCCGAATCCTCCTCGTACTCAGACATAGACCCCAAACCGTCCTCGCTAAGCGTTATGGAGCCAGCGAAGCTCTTGGTGCTGCTTGAACTGGACATCCGGTATTTATTCAAGAAGGAACCAGGTGTGGATCTCTCAGACATCTTGGAATGAAGGCTCTTCAACTCTTCTCGAATTTTGTGCTCATTCACTGTCCCTGAAAATAAAGAGTGGAGGGCATTACAGTCATGAAGTGTTAGACAGATACTTTTCAGATTTGCTTACTTTCCCTTTAAAGCTGAACTCCAGACAAATATCTACATACCTATTTGGGAGCTGTTTAACCTTCCTGAGGGTTTGCATTTCTATCCATTTGGCCCTGAGATTTGCACAGTTCTGCAATACAGCACAGCCAGGTGAATAGAACCAGCTTCTCCGACTGAAATCATATGCAATGTAGGTTCCTTCCCAAGTTGCATTTGAAATCCATGTTACAGTCCCCCAATGCACTTTTGTAGCACGGAAGAACACCTGGCAATGCAAAGTAGGCACATTAGGGTGTGTTGGCCTTATTTTGAATGGGCTGCCTTAATGCCACACATTATAACATATTGCGTAGAAGTAAATGGGTCCTTAATGATTACTTAACAAATACAGAGCTGCCATAATGTGTGTTACTGATATCTGCCCAGAGTTCAACTTTAAACATGTCATTTTTAGGTGTGTTTCACAATCCTAAATAATTAACCTCATCCAAATTGCTGTGCTCTGACATCTGCCAATACCTCACTTCTCAACTGCCAATCCGCTGCTTTTGGAAGATGTAAAAGAAAGTACATCTTTAACAATTTCCAGCCTCCCTTCTACTGTGAATAGCAAGAATGTGCAAATACTGAAGTTTACACTCACAGGCCTGTCAAGCTAGATTGTCTTTTTCTCCAAATCCTGTGCATGCATGGCACATGATTATAAATATTAATACGTGTCTGTTTGTAGATTGTAGACTGTCTGTAGTCCTCTTTGGCCAAGTGTAGTTCAATTTAAAGGCTTCCAAGGGGACCAGGACAGACGATGGAAAAACCATTAGCCCTGGGCAGAGTAGGCAATGTATCAGTACAATGGTGTATGTGTTTCTATGTGCATGGAGTGGGTAAAGACCTGGGTTGTTGGTGTAACTCTTACCTTTTCATCACCCATAAAGTAAAAGTCAAGTCAAAATTGTTTCGTTTTTTTGGGGGGGGTTCAGGTTCATGCACCTGGTTTTCTATTGTCTTTGTATCTGGTGAATGGCTTGCTCTTGGTATATTCACCAATCCTTACAGTGAATGTTTGCCAGTTCTGTAGCAATGTTCATGTTTCTTAGGTGGATACAATTTAAGTAAATGTTTCATAACAGTGAATTGTGGCTTACTATTACAAGCTGTAATTGGTTTACTAGGCTTGTGGTTTGAGTTGTAAAATGTTCTGTGGTTCTATGCAGTTCATGTTTCTTATGTAATTCATTTTATTGGGATTATTCATTTTTCTTAGTTATAAAAGGGAAAGCAAAGTGTGTTTTTAGTTAGGACATATTTTGGGTTGTTATTGAACATTTGCAGCACAGTAATTTTTAACAGTACATTCACATTTTTACATGCTTGCTGTTCGATATTATTAAAGCCCACTTCCTGCTTCCAGATACCCCAAACACCCCCCACAGTTTTTTTTTAAATTATACATACTTTTTTTCTAATGACTTCCATCACATCATGTCATGAGTGGGGTCCTCTTCCTCCGCTTCTGTCCTGTGCCGTAGGTGGTCCTGATTGTTGCAGGAAACTGTGCTCATGGTGTGAGCCATTATTTTCTTTGTTCTCTTATATGTAATAATAGCTGTTCTCTGTAGCATTCCCCTACATGGTGGCTTGATGAGCAGGGGCTCCCCTAGCTTTTTTTCCACCGAAGGTGGCGGGGGGATGCAGCAATCTACCAAGTTCCTGGTAACCAGTGACATCACTGGTTGCCAGGAGCTGGGCGGGACACCGGCAAGAGGGTCCCAGGTAGCTAAGGGATGGGAGGAGAGATGTGTATAGCCCTAACACATCTCTCCGCCCGGCTCTTGGCAACCTGGGGCGCTCTGGCCGCAAAGGGGTCGGCAGGCACACTGCAAACATTGTGCAGCGGAGATAGGGTATCTCCAAGGGGTGTGTCCATGGCATCCTGGACTTACAGGAAGTTGGCTAAGTAACGATGGCCATCATTTAACTTGGAAAAGGACCCACGCTGGACCACAGAAGAGAACTCAGAGGGCAGTTCTGGAGCGTGGCGATGGTGAGTATTGCTTGGCAACAACTAACAGGGGTTTTACCCCTTCCCTGCTCTTTCTCAAATGGACATTTTTTTTTAGCTGAAGGTATAGTTAAAAAAATATCAAAATTATTATAGTTTGGCATAAAGATCACAAGAAGAACACTAAATATGAAGTGATTTTATTACCATAAAGCAGCTGATGCTCTTTTCTTAAGATGGTCTGGAGCTCTTTGTATTTTGCCCGGAAATCTTGCTGTGAATATAAAGTAAAGTTGTGTTTAATTTTAGCACCAAATTTAAAGAGTGTGCCTGTAACTTATACACATAAAAGCTTAAAATCACTGCAAATAAAGATAATATGAAGATGTGTGTTTGGCCTTACTGATCTGAGCGGCAGAAGTCCTTTCACAACAGTAAAGAGCATCTTCTTCAAGTCAAGAATATGCAATCAGCAATGAGTCAATGTTGGATCAAACTGCATTATGGGGTCTATTTATGAACAATTCACAGAGCCATTAACCCTGCAAATCTCTGTGAATGTTCACTCTGTGGGGATAGAGGCAAAATCAAACATTCCGTAGTATATTTTCTTTTTAGGTCGAATATAATATAATACCACATTTTGGCCACTAGAAAAGTAATTGTTTTCTATACTCCTCTGCTCCATCTAGTAGCCATAATTACATAAAACCTGGAAAACATTAGTTTCTGCTTTCGGAATGAACGCCTATTTTGCACAGAATGGAAGTTCAGAGATTTGCAGGGCAATTGTTTGTAAACAATGTTGGATAAAACTGCATTATTTGTCATGTCTTCTAGAAACTTGTTAACCAGTTGACATCCGTGGTGTTAAACCCCCTTCCCATCCAGGCCATTTTTCAGAATTCAGCGCTGCGGTACTTTGACTGACATTTATTCCGTCATGCAACGTTTTAATTATATGAATTTTATACCCTTTTTTGGGGACAGATAGAGCTTTCTTTTGGTGGTATTTATTCACCACTGGGGTTTTTATTTTTTACTATATTAAGGAAAAATTACCGAATTTTTTAAAAAAAAAATGGTTTCCCCTATAATAAATGATAAAACATTTATTATTACCCAATTTTGTGGTAAAATATAAAAGACGATGTCACCAGCATACCATATTGAAGGGAAGAACACATCTGTTTATTGACGTTTCATTTCAAAACAAATAGCAACGTTTTGGGGCCCTTTCATCAGGCTTGACATGAAGCGTCAATAAATTACAATCACAATACAATTCAAGACAAGATGGTAACGAGGGCACTGCCCCAGAGGGCTTACAATCTAAAAGGGAGAAGTGATACATGAGGAGGTAGCTGTGTGGGGATGAATTGTTTGAGAACACTATTTAGTGTTTAGAAAAAAAAAGTAGTAAATGTGTATTTTCCTGGAGTTTTAAGTTTTAAGCCTTAATGCTAGATTTTTCAAAGCTCAGAGACAATTTTGAACATGTTCTATATAGGACATGAAACATTAACTCAGTCATATGTAACTATTTGCAGTGTTTGCACAGGAAACCAGGCAAAGGCACACTCTCGTGCTTTGATTCTGAAGATTTACAGATATATATATATAATGTATGTAGCAGAGGAAATATGTCTAAATATTACCTGTATGATGGGTATTATAAACGAAAAAAACTTTTCTTAGATGCATTTAACATCTGCATTTAAAATGTAAATACATTGGCTATAGTGCAGCGGAGCGATTGCCTGTCTTCACACTTCTATAAATCTGTAGAATCTACAAAACCACACTGCTCGGAAATACACAGACTTGATGTTTCCTTTGGTAAGGTTCTGTCATGCAACACTGAAATGTAGACCGAGCAAATGCAAAGTGGGGAATTTATCTCCTTTTATTGTCAGTAACCCCTCTCCCCATCGTGTTCTGCTTTGAATTCTGAAGACAGTCAGCCTCATTTATCAATGTGAGAAATGAAACTGCAGAACTTATTTATTAAAATGTCTCACTGAAACATGGTTCTTGTCTCCCCCTGAAGCCATAGAGATTCTACTTTTCATTCTACAAGTGCAGCATGGGGGAGCAAAGGTACAATTGGATTGGCTGAGGAGGTGGAAAAAGAACCAATCTATGATTAAAATAAAATGATGATATGTGTATAGCCCACAGCTACCAATCAGGTGCTTCTCATCTGACAGTTTGATTCTGACTGGTGGCCGTGAACAGCTCGGACAGTTTTTATTTGGCATATGTTGATAAATGAGGCTCAGTGGACAAAAATTGAGTTATTATATGTGCAGCCTTTACCTTTGTACCATCAACCCCAAAAATAATGAAGTCAGGGAGTCTGGAGGAGTCACATAGTGACCAGGTGGTTAAGAGAGGCATTTCTGATCATATGGGCTTCTATGTGGAAGGACCAGATTTTAAAGGTATTCTAAAGTCACAGTGTATACTATCCTGTTATAACATCAGCATTGGGACATGAATACATAGTAGAGTTGTTTTTGATAATGCAATCAAAGCTTGCTTGAAAAAAATACTATTATATAGTGAGTGGTGCCTTCCATCACCCATCACTTTTCTGGATTCCCAGTTTGCTTTACGTCTCTGTGCTGCTAGATTTGATGCCATTTCAATTCCTCATTGCTGCTTCCAGCCAGCAATGATGCTGTTACATTGTTCAGATGATTAGTTTTATTTCAGATGGCAGGCTTAGTGACACAAGGAAGTTCATAGTCAGAGGGCTGAGTGAAATTGTGTCAAGGCATGGAGGAAGTACATCCTATGTGCATCTAAGTTTACAAACTTCTAGATATATACGGTTATTAGGAGTGGGATAGAACTTATGGAAATTCAATATAGAATACATATTTATTTTTAGTTTTTGACCATAGATACCCTTTAAATCTCTCGCTAAGTCTTATGGTAAATGTTTTAGAAACCCTGTAATGGTCCCATAGGCAATTCTAGATCATTACTGAATTGACGCTTTCTCAAAACATCGCAGGGCAAAGAGGGGCACATGTATACAATATTTTTAACAATGTTATTGCTACCAGAACTCTATACTTCCCATAGAGCCTTGTTGTTATAAATGTGTTGGCAATCACAGAGTATTCAGCTGTGCTGGAGCCAGTAGTCAGTTCACCACAGTGTAGCTTACCTTTAATAGCATCAGCCTTGCTTGGAGTTCTGATCGTCTGATATCTGTACTAATTTCTGTTTCAATTCTGCAAACAAAATGGTACATGTAAGGCAGTGCCAGTCCTTCTGTTGTTACTGTAACTGAAAGCAGAACTCAGCTGCAAGTCGATAATACATGGCAGATCTGGTCACGGGGCAGAAGAAAGGGTCTTGAAAAATGCCACATGAGTTAATGCAACAATGCAAATGTCTGATACATTGTTGCATTAACTCATGTGGCATTTTGAGTGACCCTTATATGGAATAACATACGTTACTTACCTGAGGAAGTTTCCTGAGGATCGCATAAGCTCAACAGTCTGCTGGTGACAGAAGCCTTCCGTGTTCACTCCATTGACATTGGTCAGCATGTCACCTGACAGAGCATCAAAACATTAGAATTCATTATGATTCCTTAATTACATATAGGAAGTGTATTGTTCTGAAGATGTGAGCATTATATTGAGAGGAACCAAACAAACGTCATCTAACTATCTCTTCAAATTTGTATTTCCAGCAACTAGTTTAGTGTAACTTCAGACAAAAAGCTAAATACACAGTTGGAATGCATACATGTTTACTCTTTACCTTGCAAAGGATTTGTAATTGTGTGGAGACAGTCGTATCATTCGGTAATAAGTGGAGAAATCACCAGCACCCCTGAGTTCCATGAATGTCAGACCTTGTTTATTGACATCCAATCAGGTCTCACAATGTATAGCAACATTTTGGAACACACATCGGTTCCTTCATTAGGCAAACAAAGTGAGAGTCTTATCATTCTTACACTGTGGCTTGTTTCTCTGATCTTTGGCCTGTTTGTGTTGGCATCAAACTCTGGCGGCCACTGGCTAATTTTTACCCACCCAAATCTAAGGGCCATAGCTATATTTTTTTTAAATACTTTTTCAAAGGCCTATTAATAATCAATGAATTGACGAAATGCATCAGGTTGAGCCACAACTATGGTTGGATCTATTGGTTCAAGTGGTTGCTGTGTGGACTTTCTACATGTAAATGAAACAGCTTTCATTCGTTGTCAGTTCATTAACAGATTTAGGCTATATAAAGTTTATTTTGCATCATTTATTGTAAATAGCTATATGACAGCTTATCTCCCTGCTGAGATGAAGAGGAGAAGTGGTGAAACGTAATTATCTTTTATAATGTAAAAGAGGAATTGTGGAGAACCAAAGGAATTATCGACTGAGCTTTTTTTTTTAAATCTTTCTGTGATGAGCTTGTAGTTATATATATAGGAGAATTTCACTAAAGATATTTATACTTTATATATATATATATATTTATATAAATCCAAAGTAGGTATAGAGGCACTCATGGGTCTTGCAGCAGCGATAATTCAATTCATCAGCATTTCATTATCAATGTTTCGATGGAGCTCAGTCCAGCTTTCTTGCTAAAGCTGGACTGAGCTCCATTGAAACAGTGACAATAAAATGCTGATGCTTTGACTTATCTCTGCTGCAAGACCAGTGAGTACCTTTATATCTACTTTGGATTTGTATGGATGTTTTTGTGGATGAGCACCTGGACATTTATTTACCTTACAAATAGGGTGCATTAGAAGCTGCATCAAGTCAGATAGAGCTTTATATACACATTAAAGTGCATATATATTACATATATATTAATGTATACATTATTAAAGTCCAAAAAACAAATATATATTTGTTTTTTGGACCATGTAAAATGAATATATATTCACTTTAATGTTTATATATACAGTATATAGTGGGGCATGATGGTTTAACTGCCGCAGATTTTAGTATATGATTTGTCTCCTGATTATGTATTTACATACACGTTGTTATAAACTACTACTACAAAAAGGAAAAAGTGATCCCACTACCTTTTTTTACTCACCCACACTTAAGAGCTGTATCTTTAATTTTTTTATTGAAATTAAATATATGTTGACAGGGGGTGCAGGGAATGTGGGTGATGGTGTTGTGTTTTGTTGCACACTAGGGGAATTTATTGAACAAGCTGAAGATTGAAAGTGATTGGTTACTATGCACAGGTGCTAAATGAAAATCTGCTCCAGTTTTAGTAAATTCACACCATTGTCTCCAAAACTTAATTAACTTTTCAAGTTGTGCAGTGGAGTGCTGCAAAAAAGTCAGTAAATAAGCGAATGGCGAGCAACAAGTGACTGGTGCACTCTAATTACCCAAAAATAAATTTTAAAAGACCCTATTACCACAAAACGAAAGATACCCCCAGAAAATTAAAAAAAAAAATCACAATGGCTAAACTATTGCCCCCTCCCCAATCCTTGAACACAAAAAATCCACCCAAAAACTAATATAAATTAAAGAAAAAAACTCCAAATACAAGACAAAGGCAATATTGCATTTATAGATGTGTCAGCTGGCTTAGGGACACCCTGTCATTTCTCCTGAACTCATGGCTGCCATGGCCTCCCTTCTATGACTGTTGGACTCCCTGCAATGTTTCCTGCCTCTGCTCCGGTTCATCTTATCTTAGTTTTGGATGTTTCCAACCTTTGTGTGGCATTCCCACTCTTCCTGATGTAAATGCCATCATTAAAATAAAATACCATTACAACAGGAGAGGAGGCCCCCTTAACTGCAATGGCAGGTGTACACAGATTTTAGCACCAATGTCCTGGGCAGGTATAAGATTAAAAGGTTTAACTCTCCAGCAAACTTTGAAATATTTGTTTTAGACTAACCTATTTAAGAAAAACTATAGTGAGAACATTGCACCATTGCTGACCTCCCTCTGAAAATGCTAGGTGTCTTGTGATCTGGAGCAAGCATGTGGGCTGTGAAGTTAGTTCACAATCAATGACTCAGTGGAAAGGATTGTGTCTTAAGACAGCTTTGGAACTTGCATTCTTAGAGGCAAAACCAAACAATGGCAGCCTTTTACCTTCAGCGCAGGATACCAGGAAATAGGCACTTCCACTGCCAACCAAAAGTCAGATTTACTTTTTTAAGGAACATTGGCCATATTTACCCAGCCTTGCATATGAATAAAGATCACACCAGCAAAAAACAAACAAGGCACAAACCTGCTTTCAAACCAGCTTTACTGGATGGACTGTTTTCATGGACTTTGCACACGTAGGTCTTCATCTCGGAACCAAATTCATACTGCAATTTGTACGTCTAGAAAGCAAACAGCGGCATTTAGATTATACTCTTATACCAGACTTTCTATGTAAAGAAGTGTCTGAAGGAAAAAGTGCATGTGTTCCCCTAAACAATCCATACTTCCCTTAATTTTCTAACCTGCTAAAAAAAATCTGTTATCTGACTGCTACAGTTAATACAGAAACAAGGTGTAGTGGGATTTTGATATTAAACCATATATTTCATATTGATATTAGTTGATTATTAATTAATTGATTATTGATATTAATACACTATTATGTATATTATTATAGTTGGGTTGCTTAAACGTTTAGCCTTGTAGAGCATTATTTTAAAATATAATAGCATATAATAAATAACATTTAGATGAACTCTCTACTTTCATATTAGCAATGTATTGTAGAGAATAATGAGTAAGCAAACTGATAAGTCCTGAACAATTAATAGTTTCCTGACTTATAGTGTAAACATTTTATATACACATAAATACATATATAATGAGTTATATGAATAAGCAACGTGTGGAACAATTAGCTTTGTAGGTCAAGGTAACTAGAGTTCATGTAGAACATTAAGGTTTTGTAGATAGGGGTAACTAGAGATCATGTAGAACATTTAGGCCTTATAAGTTGAGGTAACTAGGGATCAAAAGACAGAAAGTCAAAAACATGTGTTTTGATCTTGTCTTAATGAACAGTAGGTTTGATGCCAAGATAGCTGTCCTCTAACCTTGATGTGAGGGAGTCTTGTCAAGGCAAGAAGACCCATCTGATGTTCTTGGCACAGTCAAATACGACTACAGGGTGGTAATACTATCTGATTATTGGAGATAATTCAAGGTGTTGTTCAAATCACTATAAAAATGGCCCAGAGGCCCATATTATTTGAACGTGTCTGAATTGCTGCATGTTCCTGGCTAGCCAAATAAACCTAGTTCTTGAAGATCTGCCTGGTATCGATCCTCCATTTATGCTACTTCAAGGGCATCTGTTACATGGGGAAAGGTCCAATAGGCATGGTCCAATATAAAATACCAACTTTTTTTCTAAACATCTGTCTTAAACAACAGGGTGACCTCATCATCGTAGATTTTTTAAATACATATAATATTGTAATTGTGAGGTAAACTCTGACAGTGAAGAACTGTAGTTAAAAGATTTTTTTTTAAACACAGCTTGAAGTGATATTTTTTGTAGCAATCACAAACAAGCTTAATAAGAAAAGCAATGTGCAATGTGTAAACCCCAGTTAAAGTCACAGAAATAGATATTCAGTCAGAAAGACATTGTGCTAACAACCTCAGTTTCTTGTCTCCACTTTCCTGTTGTTTAAATATGACTGTGCAGTTCAATATACAACACAGTGTGACATCTCTGGCCATTTCACTTCATAACCTAACAGACCTGGTCAGACATGCCCCCAATGTTCCTCAGCACAAATCTGTTATGATGAGGGTTGTAACCATTACTTTGCTATATCAGCACAGAGCACTGTAGTGGATGGGCAATAAGCACACTTCCACTAAGGATGCTTAAAAAAGTTAAGGCACCCTTATTTAAGGGGCTGATTTATAACACCACCACCACTAGATGGAAGCATTGGAATTTCCTATGCTGCTCAGCATCATCTAGTAGCGCTAGTGCCATACGGACAGCATCCACCCAGCTATATGCTGGGTGGAAGATTTATAAATCAGTCCTAAGAGTAGGGGGTACTTTAAGGCATTTCTAAGCTAAGGTCAGGTAAATAATCATAACATGCAGCAATACAGGGCTATAAAGAATTAGTTTTGAAACACCATAATCCACAGAACGTGATATGAATTAATTGTTCACATAATATGACATGTAAACAATAGTAGTGCCATAGTAGAAATAAGGTAAGAAAGCCATCACCTGTATAATACACTGAAGCCATAATTAGTTTTCACGGTGCTTCTGGAAGGGTTGCAACCCTATCATATGATCCTGCAACTTTCTCTTTCGAAACATACAGGCCCACGCTTTACTTTGACCTTGCTTTACATTAACCTAAATGCTCAAATTGTGGACCATAAAGAAAACAGGGACACCTACAACCATAGGGATTTATTGGGGAAGACAGCTGTTAAGCAGGCAGGTTGTGTCTCCTGGGTTGCATGTCCAACTAGTTTGTGTCTTTTATTGTTCCTTTAAAAACAACATTCCAAACAGGAAAGCTTTCAGCCTGGATACATCTTCCCATAGTAAGCATGGATGGCTACTATGAAATTTACATTTATGAAAGCCCAGCACCCAAATTTATAGCACTGAGCTTCTGAACCAACTATAGAAAGACCTATTAATATTTTTGTCTAAAATCACGGATTCTGTATGTCCGCTCACATTTTCTTCTCTGCATCTCCACAGTCCCCCTATAGAAGGAATGCACACTGTACAGAGGCAGATCTGAGAGATTCTTTCATCGAAGAAGAAGTGGGACATTTATAGCAAATAGTTTTAGGAGAGGGTCATGTGAAGGGGGCAGAGGAGCGATGACAATAAACACTGAAATAACAGCGATTTTTTCCCTGGAAGTGGCCTTTACACATAATCAATTGGTGGTAAAAGAATATTGCTTTTTAATCCAAATATGAAACAGGAGAGAAACAAAGCTTGCTCCTACTCAACACCACTTGGGCCTCGGAATACTTTGCAGCAATATCATATAGATTTACTGTTAGTAGTAATAAAAGTGTCTATGCACTTGAACTGGGATTTGCAGTTAACTGAACCAGTTGACCCCAAGCAAATGTTCATCAGAAATCATATAAGTGCCACCAAGAGAATAAATGACCAGTTCCGTAGATTGTTAAAAATAACTTTTTGACCACTTATCAGTTGAGGCAATAATTCCCAGGAAGTCAATGCTTCTTTGACCTTCTGTGGGAAAGTAAATGGTACTTCAGTATTAGGTTATTGACATCACATACTCAGTACCATAATCTACCTGTACTCTCTGTAATTAAATACAGTAAATTCTCTGTTATCCAGTATTCAACTAGCCAGAACTCTCATCTAACCAGAAAAAAAATCCCCTGTGCACTCACTGTTCTGCTGATCTGTGGCATGTATTATCCTGGAAACGATCGTGTGCCTATTTGTCTTAATTTGTTTTTAAATACTGCATTGCAATATTAATATGAAGTCAATATAGAGTCTATGTTATGATAAGGTATAGTATGGGGTATAGCATGAAACAGACCTCCTCCATAGTGTAAAAACTTAATTTATTGGTACGTCACCCAACTGGAATTGTACTTACAAAAAAGTCGGTGGTAAAAAGCAGGTTCTGATGAAGGGGGCATGCCCCTGAAACGCGTAGACCTTTCAAACTCACAGGGGCAGAGGACGCTGATGTGATACATCCCTTCAAACTCCCGCTGCTAGAGATTTCAAGTTCTATTGACTTTTACATGCTTTTTACCACCGACTTTTTTGTAAGTACAATTCCAGTTGTGCGTCGTACCCGTAAATTAAGTTTTTACACTATGGAGGCGCTCTGTTTTGTCCTTTGTTTCCCAGATCGGTGGTCTAATTGACCGGTGGGAGCTGCCTCTGTTGTGTTCCATTAATCGTTACAGCTGGCCCGCCTTGCAGCCGGAGGCGCTGGTATTGGTTTTTCGGGTATAGCATTAGTTAGACCTATTTTTAATAGTAACTCCCAAGCAACCAGAAACTACATTTATCCGGAATTTACCAATCCCGTAGATGCCAGATAACGAGGTGTTTAATGAATAAGGATCAGCCCTCAATGGATAGGGTAATAGTTCCTAATTCTCATCTTGAAAAAGCATGCACTTAATGGAACTACATGCAATAATCCAACCAATTTTATTCCCAACAAGCGCTTTGTCAGAGATTGTAAGCCCTCAGGGGCAGGGCCCTCCTTACCATCTTGTCTTGAATTGTATTGTAATTGTAATGTCTTCCATATATTGTTAAGCGCTGAGCAAACTGTTGGCGCTATATAAATCCTGTATAATAATGATAATACTGGCTGGGTTATGGCATGCAAATCTATGATGCTTCTTTATGCACAAAAGAGACAATAAATGTTATGCATCATTACTATAAAAGTGTATATAACCCCAAAAACTAAAACATAATAAATTGCAGCTTACCAGTCCCTAGATATTGTGGCTGCATTAGTTTCCTTTTTTAGGATTATTTTACCCTTTCTTTTTACCCAGTAATCCTGTGAATAACACACCTCTTGTCTCGTCATGATTACTCTGAATTCTGTATTGCAAGGGTAGCCAAACCTGGGCCCTCCAGCTGTGGTGAAACTGCAAATCCCATAATGCATCTGCTTCTGAGAGTCATGTCTGTGGCTGTCAGACTCTTGCAATGCTTTATGGGATGTGTAGTTTCACCCCAGCTGGGGGGGGGGGGGGGAAATTTT